CCCACAGGGGGAGCTCTGCTCAGCCACAAGCCAGGCTGATGGCTGCCAGTACAGCGGTGGTGGTGGGGCCTCTCCTGCCTCCTCAGCAGCGCTAAGAATGTCCGACTGCAGCTTAGGCCTGCTCCCCGCTGGCAAGTGGACATCCCCCGAGGGCTCCCGGGCTGCCAGAGGGATGTCTGGCTGCCAGCTTAGGCCCAATTCCCCAGGGAGCGGGCCTAAGCCAACAGGTGGTCATCCCCCAAGGGGTCCCAGACTGCAAGAGGGCACAGGCCAGGCTGAGGGACACCCCCCCCGAGTGCACAAATTTTTGTGCACTGGGCCTCTAGTATATTATATTTCCCTACTATGCTAATTATAGAGCAGTTATGTTAGAAAATACCTCACTTTTCAGGTGAAACATACTGAATATTTACGTACGAAGTATCATGATATCTGCATATTTAATATGAAGTATCATAAGATCTGAAATCAATTATCAATGGCTCAGCAATAAGAGAGAAATAAGTTTCTGTGTATAAAGACACACAGAATGTGGCACAATGTTAACTTCTGAGCCTATATGAACAGTATAAGAGTATTATTTTTCTTGCAATTGTTATGACGATATGCAGGTTTTTAAAATTTAAAGAAAGTTCATAATAAAATGCAATGTGCTATATAAATCTTCTTCTTATTATTATCTATAATAATAGAAGTATAATATGCTAATTAGACCAGATGTCTTCCTGGATGTCCTTCCAGATGACCTTCCAGATGAAGCCAGGGTTGCAGGGAAGCCCGGGTCCTGGGTGCCTGCCAATGGCTAGAGGGAAGCCCGGGTGCTGGGTGCCAGAGGGAGGCCGGTGCCGGCAGCCAGGGGAAAGAAGGCCTACTCTTGCACGATTTTTGTGCATCAGGCCTTTAGTCTATATAATAAAAGCCCAGCGACCATTATGGCAGAATGACTGGAACAACCAGTCACTATGACGACGCGCACTCACCAGGGAGCAGACACTCAATGCAGGAGCTGCCCCCTAGTGGTCAGTTCACTCCCACAGCTGGAGCGCTACTCAGCCAGAAGCCAGGCTCATGGCTGGCGAGCGCAGCAGCGGAGGCAGGAGCTTCTCCGGGCTCCGTGGCAGTGCTAATGAGTGGCAAGACAAGTGGTAAGGAGCGAGCAGGCGGGAGGTTTGGAGTGAGGGGTCCCAGATTGCAAGAGGGCGCAGGCCGGGCTGAGGGACCCCCCCCACACACACACACACACACACACACAAATTTCGTGCATCGGGCCTCTAGTTATTGTTATATGGGAGCTAAGAAGCAGTCTTGCTGTTTTGAATTGAAACGTGTTAACAAGTAGAGAGATGTCAAGAATTTAAGGCTAAAGCATTTACCACTACCTACGCCCTTTTTTCCCTTGGTTTTTGAAGCATCACACTCTTGATAGTTGTCCTTTCTTGAGCTGTTCCTTGAAGCTTCTCTTCCTACTTCATTAGACATTTCAATGTCTCAGAGATCTGCCTAACAAGAATTTCTATGGCTTCAATATCTAGACTGATAACCTACAAATCCTTATCATCTATCCAGTGTTTCTCGTGTACTCCATCTATCCAGTGGCCCAACCCAGAAAATGAGGTGGACTCCCCATTCCTCCCTCCTCACCAACAAGCAATCCTTCATCATGTCCAATTACATCTACATCACTCAAATGTATGTATGTCCCTAACCGCCCCAGTCAGTCATTACTTCAACACTTGCCTGAAATGTCTCTTAATTAGTCTTTACCCCCGTCACTCCACTCTCTACAAAGTAAACTTTAAAAGCATAGAATTGATCATGATATCCCTGTGTTCAAAATTCTTCATTGGCTCCTTTCAAAAAAAGACCAAATTTCTCAGGAACAGGCCTTTGCTTATCTCTCCAGAGGATCATGAATGTTAAAACTGAAGGGCAGACCCTGGACCATGTGACTCAGTTGGTTGGAGTGTCATCCTGTGCACCAGAAGGCTGCAGGTTCAACCCCCTGCCAGGGCTCGTAAGGAGGCACCCAATCAATGTATCTCACATCGATGATCGATGTCTCTGTCTCTGTCTCTCTCTCTCTCTCTCTCTCTCTCTCTTCCTTCCTCTACAAAATCATTTTTTTTTAATTAAAAAACAAAACAAAACAGGAAGGCAGGATATAGTGCATTGGTTAAGAGCACAAATTCTTGAGTAAGTTTGGATTCAAATCATGGCTTTATAACTTATTAGTTGTGTAACTATGGGCAATTTCCCTTTCTGTGTCTGTTTCTTCATCTGTAGCATGAAAGAAATGTCACCTATTTCATATAAGTATCAAATGAGGAATAATCAATTAATGTATATGTAGTGTCTGGCACATAGTAAGAACTCTACACTAGCTATTTTTATCTACATTCAAGCCAAAATAAATATTCTAGGTCTTAGCAAGTGCTTTATCTTCTACTCAGATGCGCTTTTCTTAACCACCATGTAAATCCCATTGTCTTTGCCAGACTAACTCCTTCTTCAGGTCTCAGTTTACAGATCACTTCCTGAATATCAAGACTGATTTAGGTATTACTCCCCAGAGTATCCCAAAATATTCTTATATACATATGTACCCCCAAAGTATTATATTATCTCTATGTTACAATTATTATTGACAGTGAGTATCATGGAGAAACAGAATACAATTAGTTGCCCACTATATCCCTAGTACTTAGCATATTATCTGGCATGCTGTAAATACTCAGTAAAACTGAATGACTGGTTATGAACAAAAAAGAAATTGTCAGAGCAATTCATAGACATATTCCATCTTAAGGAACCTAAGAGCTGCAAAGTACGTAGGCCTGATTCAAGTTTTCTGTGTGTGTGCCTATGAATAAAGATAGTAGTCTAAGATCTGAATGAACAGGTAGCTATGATTAGCTAAGGGTGTGTGATATGAGTAGTAAGAAGTTGACTAATATATGGGCCAGACAGAAAACCACAGACAGACATCCCCCTAAGCAACTGTATTACTGTATAGCATATGTTGGATCCGTTATGATTATTAAGAAATCCACAGGTCTGTTATGTTTTACTGAGTCAACAAAACAGATAATGCTCTAAGAATTTAATCCTAACCTTTAGATGGCATCAATCCATACTTTTTACACTGCATGATTCTTCAAAATTACATAGTAAAATAGATATATCAAGAATGGGGATGCTTTTTCTTACAAATTAATTTATGATGGATTCTCTTTAAACAGCAAATCACCTAGAAATCTCTGTTGTTTACTTAAAATGTATAACCAATGGATGGAAGAAGATTATCAAGATGTAATACAACATTGACCTTCTAAAGGACACAAAGGTAGGAAAAGCTTCTGGGCATCAGGTAGGCATCCAATTCTGTACTAATTTTACTGACAGCTGAGCCAAAATTAAAACATGTTATTTTCTGACAGGAAATACGAACTTATCTACAAAAAAATGTTTTCCTCAAACAAAATTTAAGTAAACACAGCATGATTATTTTATAAGGACTAAAGTAAGAGGTAATAGGAAATTATGCTCGTATAAAAGATGAAATGTCATGATTTAAAGTATGCATTGGAAAAAAATAAATAAAGTATGCATTGATTTACAAAATGCTGGCATTAGCACAACTTTTTAATAACCTATATATTACATAATGTGAAGTACACCTCAAAACAAGAAATCTGATTAATCATTATGAATACATCATTAAAGGATTAATTTCTAAGTCTATTACTAATATAAATGGATTATAAAAAATACCTTTTTCCCCAAAATAAACTAAGGCAGATATAAAAAAACAATATTTTAAATGTCTATTAAATTCTTCATACCAATTTTCCAGACCAAATAATAAATTTTATGTAACACAATTGTAATCCTGAGAAAAATGTACCTCCAAATACAGTGGGGCCTTGACTTACGAGTTTAATTCGTTCCGTGACGGAGCTCGTAACTCAAATTACTCGTATGTCAAATTTTAAAGTGAACGAGTGAGACACGTGATGCTGGGCTGATGTTGTGGCGTTCACTGTGACGTTCGCTGCGCCAACTAGTGGTGGGGTATCTGAAGCTGGCTCGTAACCCGAATTTTAGCTCGAAACTCAAAGCAAACAATCGGCCGAGAGACAGCTCGTATCTCAAAAAACTCGTTAGTCGGGACACTCGTAAGTCAAAGCCCACTGTATAAAGAATTAATCTCCAAGTCATATTCACTAGAAGTACCTGATCCATTATGAAGATGTGATGACAACACAAATCTATAATAATAAAAAGGTAATATGCTAATTAGACCAACGTCTCCCGGACATCATTCCAGACTTCCTACCTGACGAAGCCGGGGCCAGAGGGAAGCCAGCCCGGGTCCCGGGTGCCTGCGGACAGCCCGGGGGAAGCCAGCCCAGGTCCCAGGTGCCTGCGGCCGGCCTGGGGGAAGCCAGCC